GTTAAAGCGCCTCTCATACGTAATCATTTGCAAAGTGTTCTTTATCAATTTATTCAGCCCTTGAAGATGCAGTTTGAAGCACGATAATCAAACAGATTGCTCAGTGCATGTTAGAAAATAAAAACTCAATCGGTGAACAATAAATGACATGCAAGGTAACTCAGGTGAACTAAATTCAAAGAAATTCTTTTGTTGCATAGGTATGACTATTCATATTTGTAAATAAATATATATTTTATCATATTCGTATCACAGAGGTGAAATGCACATCCGACCTTATTCACGTTTTCATCTGTCATCTGAAAATGATCTTTGCTCGTGATAGAGAAGTTGCCATTTGCAATCTGCTATCAATAAAGTTCAATACACTGCTCAATATCGTTTTGTTCGCTTACACAGTATGCTGATTAAGTGTTGTTGGAAATTTGATTGCTTCTACTATAAAATATGTAAGCTAGAGTACGATACCGCCCAATGTGTTTCTTGCTATCCACTTCCAAGAATACTGTTCAAGCATTAGCTAAACATCACAGCTAACCTGGACATGAACTGATGTTGGATCAGCTTTTTTTCCACCATCTATCTATCTGAAAGTGATGATTTGATGTGGCTATAATTAAATCAACTAAATTAGTTCACTAATCCGTTATTTAGAACTGATGCCATTATAAGATGGTTATGTTCATGAGGAGGCAGAGGAAATGTAGACGTCTTTTTGAAGCCTAGTTTAGTTCAATAATATTGTTTTTTGAAACAATGACGTCGCCTTCTGATCAAATCAGACATTGAAAAAGCGTCACTTCAACCAACCGCAGCTAATACATCACGTTCTTCGGCACTGGGACGCTTAGCAATGTTGGTGTTGTTGCCGAGTGCGGGGTATTTTGATTTTGTGTTTGCAACTGGATTCGGCAAGAGAGCCAGCTTCTTTCTCCAAGCTGCAACTATACTTCTATAAAATGAATGTAAAAAATCAAATTTTCCATGAGTAGGACTAAAATTACTTATTATGAAAATCCTCATCATCATCGATGGCGCTTCAGGCTTCTGATTCTTTCTGAACAAACATATTTTACTAAAGAACGTTGATGCAGTAATAGCGATTATTTTGTAAGTAACTTAAGCCGGCACGTTGTTGTTTTTCTCTTGAAAATCAAGAAAACGATCAGAACAAACCTCCATCGATCGTGCTGGAAAAGAGCTTTATCTGTCATACTCGGACTCATTGATGTTTGATATCCATCGCAGTTCACTGTATCTACGATATAAAAAACATAAATTCTTAATAAACATACGGACATCGAGGTCTGCGACGGCAAATCATTTGGGAAAAGATTAAAACTAAAAGTTGCACTGACCTTTTGGCTTAACACAAGAGATGTATCGGAATTCCTTAAATGATAGAATAAATTTCTTGGAATATACTTCAAAAGCAGTAGGTTCTTCTGATATCGCCTTTCTTGGAAAGCTTAGGAAAGGGAGACGATATCCGCCAAAGTTTTAGGTAATCAAACAGATTTTAGTATAACAATTTTCGCGCTTTGAATTAGGAGAAGTAATTGTGATTCACTGAACATCGCCGAAGTTAATGGAGTTTCAGTCATGAAAGTTCTTCGACGCCTTTGTCAAAATACTACCGTCCTTTTGTCGGTTTTAAGCGAGAAAAAGTTATATTTTCACTAAGAATTGTGTAATTTAAAAGCTTATTTTATCCTCAGGTTATACGCAGTTTTTGCAAAAAGTAGCATTTCCAGAGTTGTTGAGCAAAAAAAATATTTTTTTCTGAAACCGGAAGCATGACCAAATTTGAAGCTTCAGAATTTCCACTCTAGTATGATAGCGATAGAAGCCAATGGTACCATAACTGACACTAATATAATGCAATGGTCGTTATCATACCGTTCAAGCGCATTGTTGGTTGAGTTACGAGTCTCGACAAGAAAAAGATATCAGAATCTTGCGTGGGTTGCGGGTAAACTACATTTTATCTTGGTAAAATGAGTCTTTCACATGCGAGCAAAAGCCAACAAACTTGAATGATCTTCTATTCAGTCAATAATTTCTGGTGCTTATTGGTAACTAACTTATTAGCTTTAGCCGAAAATAATGTGTATTGTTGCGAATGTAATAGGAAACTAAACGTACCTCAACAAGAAAAAGAAGAGCAATGAAAGTGCTCAAGATGTGATTCTCCATTCGAAACGTGCAGTTCTTATCCAACTGAAAACGTTTTGTCACAATGAGTGGGCCACTGAGCTTGAAGTAGATAGTTATGCAAATCATCAGGGGGCATAGTATCAGTTCTCAGAATTTTCCCTCAACATTCGTTGCATTCACGTAAGGGCACTTTAAATCGGTTATGTCCAAGATCTCAAAAAGAGTGGCTTAATAGTATTCTAGGTCATCAGACAGCGCTAGATCTTTACAACGCGCAAGATATTTGCAGATCGTTGAAAGGAAGAATATCAGAAGATGCATCAAATGAAGTAATTTTACAATTCTCGAAGCTGATGCGATTATGAGCGATATAAAATGAATAACTTGATCAATTCGTGTTGTGTCAAATAAAGAAAAAGTTCGTAGTAGTTACGATGATAAATACTAATTTGATACTTTTTATCGCTGATCGATGTTCAAGAAGCGGTGTAAAGTCACGTTAGTACTAATTCTGTGATATATTTGTCGATGAAACGGAAACAACTTTGTTGATGATCTTTCGCTCGCATTTTCGAATGTTGCATTCCTGCCGTGGTGAGCAAATTTGTGAAACACTCTATGTTATTGTATCTCACTATAAGCATTTCGACGGGATTTGTCTTCTTCAGAGCTGATGATCTGAGTCGATTCTTTATATAGACACCTTACTGATCCGTATTCAGACTGTGTTTTTCACCGTCCGCATCCCTTTACTTCTAACATTCAGATCGTTTTCTGGTCTTCTCATTCAATGACGTAGAATAATGGTCGAGCGCGTCTGCTTGCAATCTCGACGGTAGCCTGGCTATGACGTTCTTTACGGAGTTCATTGTTGACTGCCGGAGAGTGTTGGAGAGCGGGGTTTAGTTCATGAACGCCTCGGCTGGCATCATATCCACTCGGCCACGGCTCCCGTTTATATAAAGCTAACACAGTTATCAATGGCGGAGATGTGCTTTGTAAGACTTGAAGGCAGATATTAATTTCACACCATACGCATCAGATTCAAGCAAATCAATGTACCAAATACATCTAGAAGTATTGAAAAAGGAGCGAGAAAAGTATTGAAGGTGTTTGTTATATTGGAATGATTTTTCATTCAAACCGCGCGCTTTTATACGAGTCGAAAAAAGGATGGGCTTTGTTAAACCTATCGATCACTTACTTTTTAAGTTGCTGGGTGATCGGTGAATTCCGCATTGGTTCGCTTTGTTTCGTGTCACGCCATCAGTCTTTTTTCTATCAATACTTGAATATGTATTGAAAAGCATAAAAACGACAGATGGACGAAAAAAACTGTAGAATGGATTCCACGTCATTGCACGCGTCCTCGACAGCGACCAAACACGTTGGGCGGACGTGTTCGTAAAAGAGATTCAATCAACTGTACTCGCAGCCGCCGATATTTTTCATATCACGGTATAACACTCGCACCAGCCGCCATGCTCAAATGAAATCACCGTCACAGACGACTACTGCGAAAAAGGAACGAATGAAACATTTGCTGGGATCCACTTAACTAATGGAGAGGGACCATCCAAGAAATTCAAGTAAGTTATTGGTAATATTAAACATATGATAGAACAACGCCATCGAAATGAAATTCTTCTCAGCTACAATGTGGCTCGCTTTCTCTGTAGTTGTGCTCTCTTTTTACAAAGCAGCCATGTGTGAACGTGAGATTTGCAGTATGTGCTGGGATCCACTTAATCGATCATTGGCGTCGACATGAAATGTGATTTTCATCATATGATGCTGCAAAAATTTCTTTACATCTTTTCAACCTTAAGTATATTCTTCAAGCTGTTAATATAAATATGTAATTGGGTTTTATGACTACTTTGACAAAATTCAGAAAGCCAGAAGCTCCTAATTACTTCAGGCACTGATCATAAAACATCATGACCTAACAAAAAATTAAGATCACAACTGGGACTAAAAGGTTGAAAGTCTTTCATTGCATTTTCATGTTATGAAGTCGATCGATCATTGCGTCAAGCCTCCTTGTCGCCTTATCCAGCGGCACATTATTTGGCCAAAGAACGCATGATTGCATATGTAAATAAGACTCAACTTCTGTCACACTGCACAAAAATGGCCTCCTTAAAAAATATGCGCAGTGTTAGAATTTCTGAATCTTACGCTGTCGAATGATCTAATGGTTCAGAGAAAGAGGTCTACCCGCCGAAGTGTAGAACATAGATGCTTTCTTTCAACCTAGAGCATTTTGAAAACTCTTCCAAATAGCAAACGCATCTTTTAGTTCCGAAACTTGTGCTATCAAAGGGTTACTAGCAGTTTAGAAAAGGAGGTTTTTTCCAGCGCAATATAAGCGAGGTAAGAAAAAAGTGTATTATTGTGTTCTACATAATTTTGTTTTGGAATTTACACCGCAATAAAAGAGTATTCCAGAAAACATGTTACTTGAAGCTCTAACCAGAGATTTAAGCTTTCGAATGACTAATGACATCCCATGAAAAGTTTATGTCCAGTGAGTGAATTTTAATATTCATCTGTTCTCTTATAACTGAAAAGACCAAATTCCATTATACACAACAAATTTGATACACCAACCTGTTCTGTCTTATGTTAATTTATTAAAGTTGGTATGCACTGATGATCTTGCGTCTATGGCACATCAACATACAAAGGAGTTTCTATCATCAGCCGTGTGAACGGATGAGTAGATAGAATAAAGTGATTTATCAACCTGATACTAATTCAAATTCTTTTTATTTTGAATGCCATTTGCAGTGGTGTGATGTTATAGTATACCCAATATGTGGAGGCTGTACAAAAACTTCTGCCTCAGCCGGTATTCGAACCCATATCTCACTCTTTCCGGGAGCGTATGCTAACCGTTGCACTACTGACGCTCGTTTTGCACAGCACTCTTATTTACGCTATAACGCGTTGTCTGCCAACAGCCTACCGTCGATGGTCTGGCGGAATAGCCGCTATCGGCATTGAACCCACTTGTGTTGATAGACACTGGATATCGATAATCAGTCTAAATTCTTTTTATTTTGACTGCCACCTGCAGTGGTATAATGTTATAGTATACCCAATATGTGATAAAATATAAAAACGAATCGAACGAAAAAAAAATTGAACGAAAAGAAATCAAACGAAAAAAAAAAACGAAAATAAATTAATCTGAGCGTTGTTTCGACTCTTATTGGTAGGTTGGGGAAAAAGTCCTGGGAAAATGCTTGTGACTTTTTTGGGTGTGTGTCATTTTTTGTGTTTTTGGGCTCATTTGGAAGCCCGTCTTCTCCGCGTTGATTGGTTTATAAGCGTACTTCGTTGATGTGTTGATGATGGTGATGCTGATGCATCTTAATGCGTTCGGTTGCCACCATTGCATTTAAACCCAGCAGCACTCGTCACCATCAACAACCTAATTTGCTCACTTGTTAACTTTATCTCGAAATCAGTAGATATATTATATAACAATTAATGTGGGAGAAGACGGGCGTTCAGATGAGTCCAAAAGCACAAAAAATGACCGGCACTTAAAAAAGTTACAAGCATTTTCTCAGAACCTTTCACCAACCTATTATTAACTACGTCTCGTCTATGAGTGTCGTTTTGAGATTTGGTGCTGTTAATGCACTAAGGATGCTTTGTAATGTCATACAACCTTTAAAATCGTGCAGAAATAGTGTATAGTCACGGAAAGCATTTATGCGGTCAGTTACACAATATCTTCAGCTTTAGCACTATACCAAAAAACACATTCAAATGACTAAGACCTCTCGAGAGAAAAAGATCAATGACAAAGTTATTTTTCTGCTCATCGACGAGTTTAGTAAAGTGTTAGAATGGTCTTATCGTTTGCTGCACGTTGTCTAAAAACAAACAATGCCCGGAACCAATCAAGTATTAAGCTGGACAGAGGTGAAATAACTGCGCATTTTCTTCTGATGAACAGAACTGAGGTTGTAAAAAGTAGGATATATTGTATACAAACACTATAATTGTTGACGTTTTGGCGATATTGTCTTTTTCAGAGATTGGGATGGTCACGATTCTTATTGCAATTTACTTGTCCGAGCGCTTTTGTAATTTCAGCAAAAGAAAATATGACAAGCAATTTTTAAAAGGTGGAATAAATAGGATCTTTTTCAGATACTCACCGTTTTGCTTTTTAGATTATCTCAATTGGTTGCTTGGCACAGATAAAAAAAATCAACCTGAGACATGGCGCTAAGCTACGCATGATTACGAGACATCCATCCTTACGGGTCATTTTTCGATTATTGCTATTCATCAAAAAGCTTCAAAAGTTTTTTGTGCAAAGATTTCAAGCCCTACAAATTTATAGCTTTCCTGCGCTCCGTGAGGAGCTCGTGATATTGGACCCTACTAATGCCATGTTCCTGTAACTTCTCGATCAGCACTAAAATAATTATGTACGCTTCATGTGCGAATCAAAAACAGATGCTTCAAGCTAAATTGCTGGCAATTTGGAAGTGACTATTATTACACAAATCTTAAGTTTCGGCTCAAACAACTCTTGGTGAATGCTGCACAAATTTCAAAAAAAAACAAAAACAAATTGAACGAAGAAGTTTCTTCTAATCACGTTTGATACTTGAGGCATGGTCATTAGTATATGCAGACAAAACTGTCCATGATACAACAAATTTTTTCTACCTTTTCTTAGGTGGATCCACTCAGATTTTCGCTGTTTCGCATGATTTAAATCTCCTCGTGCATATAAATCTCGTGAATCATGTTTTGTAAAATGTTGAAGCGAGCCACACTGCTCCGTGAGCAACTTTATGAGATCCGTTTTCAAGAAAATATAATATTAACGGGAAAATAAACTAAGGTACATTCATGATAAGAAGATTTTTGATTTAGAACACTTGAAACAGAAACACTTCCAGTGTCGATCGATATTCGCCATATTGCAAATGATGTCGTTTGTTTTTCGGGAAGCCAACTGAACATTGTGCGTGCCATTTCATTTCGATTCTTTTTATAAGAAATATCTTGTCAATTTGGCGTTTCGGTAAAAAAATTCGCTGTATAATTCTAAGCTCTCCAACGCATACAAAACTTCTGTGTAAAGTTTTTTTTGTGCCATTGTCTCTCCATTACACACTCTGTGAATGGAGTCTACACATGCTCCTTTCCATTTGTTACGGTCTCGACATGCGTTGTATGGAAAGGTTAGCATAACAATGCATTCATGGATGTTTCCATGATCCGTCCTCAAAGTCGTCTCTTCTTGAACGTACCTTTTTTTCAGTTCTCCTTCTGAATGTTATACTGAAATCTGTTTGATTACCTAAAACTTTGGCGGATATCGTCTCCTTTTCCTAAGCTTTCCAAGGAAGGCGATATCAGAAGAACCTACAGCTTTTGAAGTAAATTTCAAAAAAGTTATTCTATCGTTTAAGGGATTCCGATATATCTCCTGCGTTAAGCCAAAAGGTCAGTGCTACTTTTAGTTTTAATCTTTTCGCAAATGATTTGCCGTCGCGGACCTCGATGTCCGTATGTTTATTAAGAATTTATTTTTTTTTTATATCGTAGATACAGTGATCTGCGATGGATATCAGACATCAATGAGTCCGAGTATGAGAGATAAAGCTCTTTCCCAGCACGATCGATGGAGGTTTGTTCTGATCGTTTTCTTGATTTTCAACAGAAAAACAATAATGTGCTGGCTTGAGTTACTTACAAAATAATCGCTATTACTGCATCAACGTTCTTTACTAAAATATGGTTTTTCAGAAAGAATCAGAAGCCTGGAGCGCCATCGATGGTGATGAGGATTTTCATAATAAATAATTTTAGTCCTACTCATGGAAATTTGATTTTTTCATTCATTTTATAGGAGTATAACTGCGACTTGGAGAAAGAAGCTGGCTCTCTTGCCGAATCCAGTTGCAAAACAAAATCAAAATACCCCGCACTCGGCAACAACACCAACATTGCTAAGCGTCCCAGTGCCGAAGAACGTTATGTATTAGCTGCGGTTGGTTGAAGTGACGCTTTTTCAATGTCTGATTTGATCAGAAGGCGACGTCATTGTTTCAAAAAACAATATTATTGAACTAAACTAGGCTTCAAAAAGACGTCTACATTTCCTCTGCCTCCTCATGAACATAACCATCTTATAATGGCATCAGTCTAAATAACGGATTAGTGAACTAATTTACTTGATTTAATTACAGCCACATCAATTCATCACTTTCAGATAGATAGATGGTGGAAAAAAGGTGATCCAACATCAGTTCATGTTCAGGTTAGTAGTGATGTTTAGCTAATGCTTGAACAGTATTCTTGGAAGTGGATAACAAGAAACGCATTGGGCGGTGTAGTATTCTAGCTTGATTTACTACATATTTTATAGTAGAAGCAATCAAATTTCCAACAACACTTAACCAGCATACTGTGTAAACGAACAAAACGATATTGAGCAGTGTATTGAACTTTATTGATAGCAGATTGCAAATGGGAACTTCTTTATCACGAGCAAAGATCATTTTCAGATGACAGATGAAAACGTGAAGAAGGTCGGATGTGCATTTTACCTCTGTGATACGAATAAGAAAAAATATATGTTTGTTTGCAAATATGAATAGTCATATCTATGCAACAAAAGATTTACTCTGAGTTTAGTTCACCTATATAATCTTGCATGTCATTTATTGTTCACCGATTGAATTTTTATTTTCTAACATGCACTGAGCAATCTGTTTGATTATCGTGCTTCAAACTGCATCTTCAAGGGCTGAATAAATTGATCAAGAACACTTTGCAAATGATTACGTATGAGAGGCGCTTTAACTGGCTGAACCACTTCACTGATTTTTTCGATTGAATTAAGCTGTGGGTTGAGTATATACAGATACGTATCTATAAGTTGAATGATATGCAAAACTTTAAATATCACACAGATATCTAACACGGAGCTCCACCCTTGTGAGAGTGCAAGTTACCAGTCTTCCAATCAACCCCTGTTCTACCGCCCTCTTTTTGCGATACAATATATAAACTGGGGTGAAAAAGGCTGTGTATGCTACGGAAATAAGGGAACTAAATGTCAAAGATCTGTCATTTTTTCGGTAAAACGTATAAGTTTGGATTGAAGTGTGTTAATGATCCATTGATTATTAACCGAGTTAAAAGTTTCGCAGTAAGATCAAGACTAGTTAACTTTTTTTGCCGGGCGACACTTTGCAAAAAACTCTCCTTTTCAAGATGTGCCGAAAAACCGTCATTTTTTGTAGGAGCGTGATCAATTACCGTATGAGTCGTGCCGATGAAAGATTCCCATGTTCATCGAGGTATTTCCTCTTATCTAAAATTCAGTTATCGTGGAAGTAATCTGCTGCGGACAAGAGCCGTTCACAACTCTCTTCGTTTTTTCCCTTTCGCTCTTCGTTTTTGATTCGTTATCTCAACTAAAATTTTAGTTTTCTTTATTCATTCGCCCTTTATTGGCATTGAAATATTCAACGACGAATTTGTGAAAGAACTTTCAAAATTGGATGAATCCTTATAATTTTTCATAGTTGTAGTTCAATGGAAAATCAGCATAACAGTATTGTTGTTCAAAGAGGTAGACCTTCACGACGTGGGCAATTATCGCCCAATCCGATTGTTGCCCGTTGTCTATAAACTCCTCACTCAAGTCATCCTAAACAGTATTGACAGAACACAGGACGAAGGACAGCCATGCGAACAAGCAGGGTTCAGGAAAAAATTAAGTATCATAGACCACATCCACACGATCACAAGACTAACTGAAGTTTCAGGAGAGCGCAAACAACCATTCTGTCTCACTTTCATCAATCGAAGGAAGCCTTTGATTTAGTGGAAACAGAAGCGGTTGTAGAGGCTCTGGATAACCAGG